CACAAACAAAACAACTCTTACTGCAGAAATTATTTTGAGTACAGGTGTATTAAATCTGTTTGATCATCATAAATGAGCCGTTTCACACTCCACAGATGTTTCTTTGTAGCTCAAAATTCATTCAGTACCATTCATTCTGCTGTTTGTACTTCACGTCTTTTCTTATTTTTTTCTGTTTGTTGTGTAGGACGCACTGTTTTTCCTGAAAGACTTTTTTAGTAATCTAGCTTCCTCTGTTAATCCTTACCTGCCTGTGGATCCTGCAGCTGAAGGTGAGCTCTGCCAGGTCTTCTTTTATCATTCATTTCTTTGATGTCAGATCTGCCGAGCTGATTTTTATGGAGTTGTAGCCTTTTTCTTGTTCATCGTTGTGGCACGATGAATTTTAATTAGCTACAGAGTACATTTAAATGATGACTGAGGTGAATTTTTAGCATGCTAGATTTGTGACCTGTTGTAATTTCTCTGTTTTCAGTGAAGGCAGATTTCTCCCAGAAGGGGTCTGAGGATCTAGAGATGGCTGCTGCTGCAGGTAGTCTTGGACCCGACCTCACAGCTTCTGTGGAAACTACCTACAGTGAGCAGAGTTCCTCTTCTGCCGGCTCCAGCGCCTCCTCTGACCAGCCAATCTACTTCCGGTATGTAGTGACTGAAAAGAGAGTGAGAAATCTAGAGAAACAGAATAAAAAAGAAAGCAGAGAATACTGTAAAGATGATGTAAGTTACTAGCTAGGAAACTCCTATGTTACAGATTCCAAAAGAGAAAAATCACCTCTAACAAATTAGCTTAAATAGAGTAACTCAAAGACTAAAAGTTTCAATGATTGATAAAGTTTCCCGCTTCTTGTCTCCACCCTTTTCAGGGAGTTTCGTTTCACATCTGAAGTGCCTATTTGGCTCGACTATCATGGCAAGCACGTCGTCATTGAACAAGTGAGTGGTCATTCAGAGATCCTGTCTACTAATTCAAACAAAAAGCTGAAGGGTTTAAATGATGCGTTTTCACACTTGTTGTTCCTCAGGGGACGTTTGCAGGGATTCTGATCGGTCTGGCCCAATTAAACTGCTCCGAGCTGAAACTGAAGAGGCTCTGCTGCAGACACGGGTAAAAACAAACGAACCAACAAGCAAACCTTTCAGTTATTTTTCAGTAGTTTGCCCTAAATTTGCTGTTAGTAGTTTGACTTTCTGAGACTTTCTGCATGTTCCAGTCTCCTCGGGGTCGACAAAGTGATTCAGTACGCCGTCACGGAGTGGCTGACGGACATCAGGAAGAATCAGCTGCCCGGCATCCTGGGAGGTGTCGGACCCATGCACTCAGTCGTCCAGCTGTGTAAGTTGCTTTTGTTTTCTGCAAACATTTTTACAGCTGCTTTCCATTATTGCTTGGATTGTGGTTCATACTTCCTCTCTCCTTCATCCTGTCCAGTCCACGGAGTGAGGGATTTGTTCTGGCTGCCTATAGAGCAGTACAGGAAGGATGGACGCATCATTCGAGGTCTCCAGAGGGGGGCAGCGTCCTTTGGTACCTCCACAGCATCTGCTGCTCTGGAGCTTAGCAACAGGCTGGTGCAGGCTATCCAGGTACTCTGAGTGCAGATCATGACTCTTAGTTACAAAGACGTTAAAAGCCTGAAGGTAAAGCACACACATTCCTAATATGCCAATAACTCTTCTGGTGTCTGTGTACCTCTGTGACAGGCTACAGCAGAGACCGTGTACGACATCTTGTCTCCAACGCCTCCTCTGAATCGCTACGCCATCACCGAGGGCCGGGCCATCTCTAGTCGACCTCGAAGAGTCGCCCAGCCTGCAGACCTTAGGGAAGGAGTGGCCAAGGCCTACGACACCGTCAGAGAGGTACGTGCCCAAATAGACGCTCTTAAAATGTAGAAAGAGTTCGTGGGTTAGAGGCCAGGGTTAACCAGGGCTGAGGATGAAAAGAAAATATCTGCAGCTACATCTATGTTGGTAGAAGAGGTTAACTATATGTTAAAAGGCCTTGTAGAAACTTCCACATGCAAGAATGCAAAGGGGGTTGAAACCCTAAATTTTTAGACTAAACTGTCTGCTCTCTTTGCTCTCCAGGGAGTGATTGACACGGCCCAACAGTTGTGCGATGTAGCATCCCGCGGCCACGAACAGAAAGGTCTCCCCGGAGCCGTGGGCGGCGTCCTGCGGCAGATCCCGCCCACTGTAGTCCGACCTTTAATAGTGGCCTCTGAAGCCACCTCCAATCTGCTGGGTGGCATGAGAAACCAGATCAAACCGGACGCCCGGAAAGAAGATTTCCTCAAGTGGCGCACAGAGGACGGCCAAGAATGAGGACAGCTTTTTGTGTCTGTGTGTGAGGGAAAGTGTGTGTGCGCGTACGTGTATACGAGAGTATGAGATTATGATCTGGGAAAGTCTATTCTGTGGGAATCCATGGGTTGTGTGAGTAGCTGCATGTGTGTTGTGTCTAAAAAGAGTCAGCGTGTGCTCCAATGCAAAAAAGAGAAAAGGAAAGAAGAAGAAATTTAGAAAAAAATGACTAACTACTGCTGCAGTTCCTGACGCACAGTGTTTAATGTTGCTCCCACATACATAGACGTGCACGACTTCATTTTTCTGTTCGGCATTCGCTCGTTTTCCCGCTCTCTGTAACACACTAGTGTTTTTCTTCTTGACGTCAGTGCAAACATATCGCCGTCACTTTCTGCCGGCTTCATTTTCAGTGTGACCCGGGCAGAGGGGGCAGGTAAGATTATCACGCTCTGTGTTTCTTCACTCATTTGTGTGCTCTGAACTGTGATGCTTGAAGCTGTTTGTAATTTGAAGCAGCGATTTCAAGCACGAGTTGCACAGAGCGCTGAGAAGGGATGTTTATAACTGAGAGCAGCTTCACTTTAATGAGCTTTCTGCAGATGAGTGGGGGGTACCTGTCTTTGGAGGGGGGTTGCCATGTGTTAGTTTTGCTCTCTTTGTGCTCATAATGGAAGCTGAAAATATTTTGATCAAGTGTCCTTTGCTTAACACCCTTGCAGATGGTACAAAGCTGTGTGATTGGTTTAGCTGTGACTCCCACTATGCACCCGCTACCCTCAGTGCTGTTATTCGTGCCATAAACCTTACAGTGTCCTTTTTAACTAGTTTGTGTTGCCTTCCTCGGATCTGTACCTCATCCCCTACTCAAAGCTCAGCACATACAGTGGCATACCTGACTGAACAGAAACAACGGGTCACATGAAGTCTCTAAATTTTGTAGCATATTGGATTCTGCTCGAGCTTCACGAAGATGAACGTTTTTCCAAGCTGACGTCACTGCAGCTCTCCTGTTAAATGTCAGATCCTTGGATCTCAATTAGCCCACTATGTCCTCAGAAGTCCTCTGCCCACATCTTTAGTTGCCTTTCTGCATTGATTTTGTAATTGTCTCTTCTTCTTAGTTTTTTTTAAATATTATTATTATTATTATTTTGTTAAAGCATAAGTATTGTCATATTTGTTTTCAGAGTAAGAGTAAGGAGGTATGTGAATCTGGTGAAAATGGAGGATGGAAAAATTAGGGTTAAAAATGTTTTACATTTTCTTTTTTTGTTTGTTTTTAATCAGTGTGAGGGACGCGTGTCCCTGTCTGTGTGTCTGTCTGTCTGTGAATGTGTGAGGATGAGAAAATGTGTTTGCGCGCATGATGCACGTCTGTGAAGGTGACAGGTTGATGCTTGTTACACCTCTTGCGTGTAATTACTATTTACTATATCATAAACTGTATGAATGATCTGTATAATACAAAGATGAGGATTATACAAAATTAATAGAAAAATTAAAAAAATTTGAGTATAAAAACCGAACAGCTGTCTGCCTTTATTTATTGTATTTTTAATTATTATGATTCTTATTATTGTTATTATTATTTATTTATTGTATCTATTGGTAATTTAAGCAGTGTTGTTGCTGTACAGTTTGTATACTGTGGCATTTCAGGAACTTACTTGTAATTACTTGCATCCAAAATGATGGCCGGTATTGCATCTTCACTTGTTTAAAAAAGTTAAGACTGAAAGTAACTCAATCGTGAGCTGGTGCAGTAATAAAACCTGTAAGTATGTACTGGTGCATCAATAATTATATTGCAAATCCTGAGTATTGATAATATTTTTATAAAATATACTGAGAATAGTGTATTTACATATATTTATTTACTTTTTTAACTTTTTAATCTATTTTATTACTTCTTTCTCTGATAATTGTTGTGCATGTTGCGTGAGGTAACGGCTATTACAAAAAAAAAATCACACTTTTTTTAATTTTTACACTAAATACATAATAATGGGTGATTCTATATTTGGAGGAAAATTTAGACTTCAGAAATTACAAAAGAACAAAAGACAGAGAAACTTTGTAATTTTCTACTATGTGTTTAAGAAAAACAAACACACAAGCGGTTTGAAACTTTGTGGAAGTGGAAGTAGACCAAAGGTCACCATGTGTAGACCTTCTACCCATGGTGTTCATGTCCCTTCCTCTTGGTCATCTCTCTGCTTTGTCTCCTCCTGTCCCAGGCTAAATGGGTGTTACCGAAATCTACAAAATAAAGGATATATAAATTTCGCTGCCAAAACCGGATTTTCCAGAAACTTGCAGTGCAAAATTACTGTTATGCAATATATATGTATATATATTAAAATACGTTAATATTATGTAAACACATTAAACTGGTTGGATCATTACAACAAACATGGAAAAAAAGAAAAGAAAAGGTGGATTTATAACTTACTTTGTAATTTGACCTGCAGTTTGTTACTGCAGAAGTAGGAACAAGAGAAAAAACAAAAAAGAGGGGTGTTCAGAAGCTACTTTATATATTACATATTTTGGAAACATTTTTGTGCAATTTATACGACAAATATTTGTTTTAGTATTTTTGTGGTACGGAAAATGTGCCTTTATAAAAAAAAAATTACCCCTAATAATAAATTAAAAGCCACTAGGAATCAACGGAAGCTTTGGGAATCTTTTATGCGACGTACCGCCGTCACTTCCGGTGCACATGTAAACTCCGCAGCGTGGTTTACGTGTAGCTGTCAGAGTGTTTGCAGTTTTCTGGCTTTATAGCGCCTGTTTGTAAACATGAAGCTCCTCACGCACAACATGTTGACGTCTCACGTGAAAGGGGTCACCAAGGGATACCCACTGCTCATCAAGGTAACCGCGAACACCTGGACAGAAGCTAATTCTAAAACACCAGAGCTCACCGAGCTCACCGCGACACACGTTTCTGCTAACGCCGAGTTCTGGTGTTTAGGGTTGATTTATGCAGCAGCAGTTAACAGTTCGCTTTTTACTGTAAGGCTAAGACCTGAAGGATTAGAGAGAAACCCAAACAATCAGATGTTTCCCTCTGAGCTGCATTTGGCAACAGTGGGAAGGAAGAACTCCCTTTTAGTTGGGAGATCCAGGCTCAGGGAAGGGAAGCCATCTGTTGTTTCTCTGCGGTTTTTATGGCTCATATCTTTGCTATTTTGGCAAATAGGCTCTAATCAACATAATTTATGAAGGGGTCATATATAAAACAAAGAAATGTCTTATTTAAAAAAAGACATTTTTAATGTCAGACTCAGGGAGCGCTTTTACCTCGATAAGAATATGGAAAAGTAACTTGATAGGCTTGCTAAGGCTTGATATTGTTATAAGTCAAAAATTAAGAACAGTTTAATTACCGACACGAATCCAGGAAGAGTTAGCAGGGTCAGAAGTAAGAGGAGAGTAATAAAGGGAGAGTACAGAGAGACAGGACAAAACCCACACTATCAGAGAGGGAAAACAAAACTTAATGGCATCAATTAGTGGGATAAAAATGTGTGTAGAGTGGAAATAATCTGAGCCTATTGCAGCATAACCTGATCCAGCTCCAGCTATAATCTTCATGATGATGAGAGGTTTGAAGCCCTAATCGTAAAGGTAGTCAGTATAGTGCTGAAGGCTCTGCCGTTTTTTCTTCTGCAAACTCCAGGTACCGGAAGTCAGCCTGCGCTCTGAGAGCCAGGTGCTGGCATGGGATGAAATGGCACTATATAAGATCACTACTGGGTCTTCTACAGTCAGAAGTATTGGCACGAAATGAAGTCTGTTATTTAAGTTTTTATAGTTGATACTGCAGCTTCATCACCACACATCCAAACTCAATGAGTTTCTTTTGCAGAGCCTTCATACTTTTACATCAGCTGATCTGAGATCAGTTACAGGTACATACATACACAAATTTTATTTTGTTCACACGAGTTTACACTTAATTGGCGTTAAGCCTTTGTAAGCCTACACAGGTTTTATGTTTTTATCTTTATATATAAAATGAAATGTGCTGTACAAATAAAATTGCCATTACACGCTGTAACAGTTGCTGAATCACTGAAATGCACTTTACACTGAGCATTTTATCACGTTGTCTGATTTCTGCTTATGTGAATCGTGTGTGACTGTATCTACATTTTTATGCAGCAGATGGCAGGGCAGCACTCCTAATGTCACTAACCTCTGCTTCAGTGACAATAAAGCTTAATTCCAATTTTATTCTTGTGAAATCCAGTGTAAGATTTTAAGTAGTCACGATTAATTAAAAATATTCTTTTCCTGGTACACACGACAGAGTGGTTGATAGTTACTGCTGCTGTTTCCCCCATAAACATCTTTTATTTTTATTTCTTTCTTTTCATATACAGTTAAATGTAAAAAAGCACAACAGAAATTTGGATATTATCTCAGGGGAATGTTGAAGATGGTCACATTGTACATCAGCTGTGTAACATTTCATTGAAAACAAGTATATAATTGCAGCAAACATTAAAATGTTTCTCATCTATAATGATTGATGGGTTGCATTTAAACCCTTGCCTATTGCCAGCACTAACATGCTGGCAATAGGCAAATATGCACATCTGGTCTTGTGTGACATCACGCGTGCGTGTTTTGAATGAGTGTTAATACTGAACATTTTAAACTCGTGCGTTCTCTGTTGTGCAGGCCACTGAGGTGAAGGTGAACGAGGTGGAGTTTAACCCTCAGTTTGTCAGCCGGATGATCCCCAAACTGGAGTGGGGCGCTCTGGTCCAGGCAGCGGAGGAGGTGAGTCAGACATCACCGACTTTCATTGTTGATGCTAAACTGGCTGTAGTGGGGTGCGAGTGTGAACGAATGAATGTTTAATGGACTGGTTACCTGTTCAGGTTGTGTCCTGCCCCTCACTCTGTTTGTTGGGATGGGCTCCAGTGAACCTGAGCTGGATGAGTGGTTAAGAAAATGATTCAAAGTGGCATAAAAAGAAAAGGAGAACTAATATTCAGTGAGCACCCTTTGCCTTAAAAGTAGCATCAGTGCTCGGCACGCTTGCTTCTTAAGATGAATAATAAGGGAGGTTGTTTTGAGTGTGTGTGGATTTCTTCTCCCTCTTCATGTGACCACAGGCTGAATAAGGTTATTTTTTATGACTCTGGCTTTTATGTATGAGATTCTTGTCAACCTGGCGATACTGCATCAATCTAATTGATCCATAAAGCGTCACAGGACTTTGTGTTTATAAAAAATGCTCCACAGTAAACTTTCACTGGGGTGCATGTTGTAACGTAAACACCCGATGCAATCCTTTTTCTCTTTGCAGCTGGGTCATCGGCAGGACCTGCCAGGCGAGCTGGTGCAGGACTACGAGAAAAACGAAGACTTCCTGAAGAAAGTGCACCGAGTGCTGTTAGAGGTAAATGGCTCCAAGATGCCAATTTAAAATTTTTAAGACCGCGATAATGTGTGCGGATTTTGCACTATGGTGCCACCTAGTGGTGACTTCTTGTCTGTTGCGTTGTAGGTGGAGGTGATAGAGGGCTGTCTGCAGTGCCCTGAATCAGGACGGGAGTTCCCGATCTCCAAAGGAATCCCCAACATGCTGCTGAATGAAGACGAGGTGTAGATGGCACCACCTTCTCACCCCTAAACTGTGTTTCTGACCCTGGACTGCGTGCATTCAGAGACAGGCTGGACTCTGGCCAGAGTTGGAAAACGGGCCACTGGTTTGGTTGTAGTTGTGGCATCTGAGCAGCCGATGCCGCCAGTGGAGAAGATTTGACGATTAACAGATGGAAACGTTCCCTGAGAGTAACCCCCAGTGCTTTTATTTGTATTTATTTTTGTAACTGTTTTGACTCCTTTCTTGTTTTTACTTGTCTTTTCTTTTTTCTTTTCCTTTTTCAATAAAACTGTCCAGATTTTCATGACAGCCAGAGTCATTAGTGGGAAATATGGATTCAGTTATATGCTAAAATATAACCCTGAGAGGCTGGCTCTGAACCCCATCCTGCCTTCTGCTAAGGGCCAGATGACGTGGCAGTGGCTTGTCTATATTTGGCTTTGAGGAAAAAGAGGCAGAAACGGCAGGCAGGCAGGCTGGAGGTTGTTTTTGAGGAAGTCTTTCTATTTTTTTATTTTTTTTGTCCTTGAAGCCACATATTACAGCTCTCATGCACGCACACACACACACACACAGAGTCAGACACAGACAGAGAAAACACCCCACCTGGGCATGCTCCTCTGATCTGAGATGGTCCGTGATATGTCTGATCTTTGTAAGATCGCTGACAGGAGGATTTGAGCGCCGTGTTGACTAATTGGGCGTCTTTCATCGTCTTCTTTCTGATGTGAAGCGGCAAGCAGTCAAGTTAGAGCAGGAGCCTGTTTGTTCGAAGGCGCTGTTATCATTTTTAGAAACACTGCCAGGACAGACGACGAAGGGGGAGGTTGCCCTGACCAGAAGCCTAAAGGCAGCCTGAGTCTCTCCTACCTTTCCCTTCTACTTACAGCAATTACAGGCCTCCACCCGCAACTATAATAACGGTATAATGGGATGGCAGCAGAGCAGCAATAAAAGCCACCCCTGACAGATTAATAGTCCTCTCTGAGTTAGGAGCTGTAATTAACAATAAGACCGAAGAGGAACAGAGAGAAATGTAAGGCGCTAGATTGAAAGCTTAAAGAGATAAAGATTTTTTTTAAAGCAGGGGATCGACTGCCTTTGGAGTGATTTAATAAAATTCGGAGTAAGCCTTTAAAGTCTGCATGAACAAGTCAAAGCCTGAAATCACACCTAGCCTAAAGCTGCATTTTGAAATCAGCATTTTCATGTTGCATAAATATTTAAAAGAGGTTTCACATTTTGGGAAATGGGCCTTTTAGCAGAAATCGATACCACGCTCATCTGGCTCTACTGGCAGGTGACAAATGGCCATCAACAGGAGCGCTGAAACTCTTAAATTTACCGTTTTTATTGTTGGATTAGTGATTGTCGGGATCTGTGGGTTTCTAGAGACGTAGCTTGAGAGTACTGAAGTGGTTGATCACCGCTTTTCTAATCTAAACTTTGCATTTCCCTTTTAGTATTTTTGATACTGCTGTACGCAGGGCTTCTTGACTTTACTGCATTTTCACAGGTTTTTAGGAATAATTGATTGAAGGCGTCAGAGCGCAGTGATGTTTCACTCTGTGGGAGTCACAGATGTAATACTGACATTTAACTCCTTGCATGCACTCACGTCTTTAGGTACACCTGTTCAGCTGTTTGTTAATGCAAATAGTTATTTAGTGAATCACAGAAATACAATTCATTTAATATGAAAGAATGAGGAAGAAAGGTGATTTAAGTGGCTTTGAACATGGCGTGGTTTTAGGGCTGGTCTGAGTATTTCAGAAACTTTGGATATGCTGGGATTTTCTCCAAACAAACAACCACCTCCAGAGTTTACACAGAATGATCTTAAAAAGAGAAAATATCCAATGAGCAGTAGTTCTGTGGGTGAGAACACCTTGTTGATGTCAGAAGAATATAGCCATACTCCTTCGAGCTGACAGAAAGGCAAGAAAAACCCAAATAACTACTCATTATAGATGCAAGGGAGCATCTATAAACAGAGAAAAATTAGTCTATGAGTAAAATGAGTTCAAAAAAATTGGACAATGGAAGACGGAGGAAAACGTTTGCTCTGATAGGTCTCATTTCTGCTGCAACCTTTGGATGAAAGGGTCAGATTTTGTTGGAGACGATGTGAAAGCATGGATCCATCCTGCTGTGTATCAACAGTTTAGGCTGCTGCTGCTGGTGTAATAGTGTTGAGGGTATTCTATTGACACACTTTGGGCACTTTGAATGTTATGTAGACATTACAGCATACCTGAGTATTGTTTCTGACCATGTCCATCTGTTTACAACCCATCTTCTGATGGCTGCTTCCAGAAGGATCACAAACTGTTTTCTTGACGACTTCTCTGTACTCAAATTCCCTCCCCTGTCACCAGATCTCAATCCAACACAGCACTTTTGGGATGTCCTGGAACAGGATTCATATTATGGATGTGCAACTGACAAATCAGCAGCAACTGTGTGATGCTGTCACGTCAACATGGACCAAAATCTCTGAATAAGGTTTCCGGCACCTTGTTGAATCTTTGCCCCGAAGAATTAAGGCAGCTCTGCAGACAAAAGGTGGTCTAGCATGGTACTAACGCCGTGTATCTAACAAAGTGGCAGGTGTACACTATAAACATGTATAATTTGGCTATTTTACACATATTAAGTGAAGGTAATGTAAAGATTTAGTTCCTCAAATGCCGAGCTATTCCTCTGGAGCGGTTTAGTTGCGGGGAGAGGGTGGTGAATTTTTGTGGAGAAAATAATTGCAAAATGTGCAGCTATGTGTGTGTGCCTCCTCTGGAGGGAGGAAGATGGTTTTTACCTACATAATAATACACTGCATTCACTCTGGTGGCATCCCGCCCCACCATCACCACCACCACCACCATCCCTCCCTCCCTTCCAGCCTCCTTCTCTCTCTGTCTCAGTCTCAGAGTTTCTCACAGAGGATCTGCAGAATAATGGAGTCACATCCTGCAGCAGGTCTGTGTGTCTTCAGCAGAGCTTTCAGCCCAGCGTTCACCAGGCTGGAGCTCATTTAATTTGGGATCTGCAGGTCACTGTAAAGTTTCCTCTCTTTTTTTTTTAACTCACAGCACAAGGACTTCTTTCTTATGTTTTCTGCGTCATGTATTTTTACGTCGTCTGACTTTTTCCGTGTTTAGATGTTTATATGAGGGGTTTAACAGGCCCACCGTGTTTTTTCCAACATAAATCACATTTTTTTCTACGTTTCAGTACAGCCCGCTCACTGTTTACCTATAACGGGGAATGGGAGGACCTCACTAGGTTTTCCAAGTTGTAGCTAGATTCTCTGGAAGCGGATATGGGACAGTCTTTTGCTCCACACATGGGTGTTTCGGGGGTGAAGGCACGGGAGCTCTGTTGCTTTCGGTAAACTGCTCCGCTCAGGTTGTTGTTTGAAGGATTTGCGACATGGGCTGAGCTCTTGTGACGACTCTGTTCTCCTGAAAGCTGTTCGCGTATCCGAGGATGGACGGCGGAAAACGGAGATAACGTTTTAACTTTCCGGACAGACTTTCGTTAAAAAACGCCACTTATACACGAAGAGAGAGCGCGCACGGCGGCAAGGGACACCAGAGCTCTCCGAGCGCACCAGACTGGACCTGAAGAGTCACGAGAAATTTCCAATCACTTCGTTTTTACATTTTTACAGTGTTTTGTTGCAGTTTTATATTTTTCTTTTTAAATTAAAACAGCCGTTTTTTCTTAGATGCAGTAAGTTATATGTAGATTTTAAAGAATAAATAATGCGTCCTTGTGTGTTTGGTGCTTGGCGCATCTATGAAAATGTTATAAAACTACAAAATCAGAAGTGTGAAATCAGCAGATGCGGTTTTCCTTTTTTACATGACGCGGTTTTGACCAAACTAACACATTAGAGCTGGATTTTTCAAAATTGTTTATTGATCTAAGTTAGGAAGGCTCGGTTTTCACCCTCAGTCTCGCAGTTTAAATCATTTTACGCACACGTTTCTGCGCGCTTGGCTTGGAGACGCAGCTTGTTGGTCAGAGCCCACTGCGCTGAATTATCTCCGTCCTCGCACCTCCCCGGACAATGTGGCTTCCCCGTCTCGCGCTGGTGCTGCTGCTCCGGTTCTCCGGTGTATTCCTGGTGGAGGGCTTCAACACCTGCCAGTCCATCAACCTGGACGCGCAGAAGTCTCGACGGATCGAGGCGGTGCGCGGTCAGATCCTCAGCAAGCTCCGCATCCGCAGCCCTCCAGATGACGACGACGACGTGCCACCACCGAGCTCGGTGCCCCCGGAGGTCTTGCTGCTGTACAACAGCACGCGGGAGCTGCTGAAGGAGCGCGCGCGCCAGGCCGAGTCCGCGTGCGAGCGCGAAAGCAGCGAGGAGGACTACTACGCCAAAGAGGTGCAGAGGATCGACATGCTGCCCCCCCGCACCGACACAAGTGAGTTCTGACAGGGGTTCTCAATGTGTGGCCCGGGGTCCCCAGTGGTCACTTTAGAAGAATGAAAGTATGTACTAGTTTGAAACGTCTGAATATCCAATCCCATCCGGGTAAAACAAACATAGAGGCCTCTATTCGCTGTTGTTGAGCATTAATTATGTAATTGAATCTCAGTGAATTACAGTGAAAAAGTAACAATGTTGCCATGTTTTATTTTCATTTTTTAACTCTTAAATAGCAAATCAGGTGCATGTTTTCCCCTCATGAGAGATTTATTTGAACCTCCTCAGGTCCTGCATCCTGAACAGACTGAACAGTCCCTCCACCCATATCATAGCAGCAGTGACTGATAATTATCTAAGTTAAAAAACAAAACGATTTTCTGACTGCTGATGGATTAGTAGTTCTTGAATATTGTATCTGATTTTGTGAGTCTGTCTTTGATTAACCTGTTTGGTTTAATAGTTCAGTCTCCTAACTAAGCTTTATAAACTACCTGCTTTTATCAACTTTAACTACGTATATAGCAGGTTCTCTGTGCACCATTTATTATCAGTTTATATAAATATTTGTAATAAATTCTAACACAAAAAGAGCTGAAAGCAGCAAGTGTGACATTTTTAATTAATATATATATTTTGGCAACTACTGTAACTCATAGTGCTGTGCAAAAGTCCTGAGCCACCCTTCAGTTCCTTATATTTTACTTGGGGGGGAAAGTATTTATTCTAATGTGCTTGAAAATCAATATTTGGTATGACTACTTTATTCTTAACTCTTTTCGTCAAGCTTTCTTTTTATTTATTTAAGCAGTCTTCAGGTAAGCTTCTCAGGGCTCCTTGAAAGACATTCGAAGATCGTGTTTGGATGTTGGCTGTCTTTTGCTCCGTTGTCTGTTGGGATGATCCCACGCTGCTTCAATTATGCTGAGGTCTGATCTGGATCCATCACTCCATGAGACCTGTTGCCACTGAATTTCAGTCCAGTTCTTTCATAATTTTGTACAACTCAGCCTTTTTTCCATGTTTCCCTTCCTTTAAATCACTTCCTGACAGCCACCCTTCCACTGAGACTATTTCTAATCAGTCTACAGTGAACAGCAGATGGATCAACCGAAGGTCCAGGTCCGTTTCTCAGGTCCTACGTCAGGCTGGATTTTTTCCTGTCCTGCAGACAGATTGTAGACCTGCTGTCTTTTGTCTTCCACTTGTCCAATTTCCTCAGTTTTTCAAGGACACGCTGCACAGCTTGCTGAGATAGGCCAACTAATAGCTCTTTGGAAAAGCATCTTGTTGTTGCAAAAATGCTATTTTATGCCTGTTAAACTGTTTTATGTTTTATAAATTTAAACGATGTATTTTTGTGTCAGGCTGGTAGTAACAAAGTGCCTAAAGATACTATTTAAGATACCATTCGCTAAGTCCTCTGTTATGTGTAGACACAGCACTGGTTCATCCCTTGACTAAAGTCCCTTTTTTACACTAGAATGATTCATAGGCCAGTGTTAAATGGCTCAACATATTAAAAAAAACATTTCTCTGAAAACAGTCAGGCACAAGGACTGGAGATGAGAAAAAAGTGTCCAAAAAAAGACCTCCAGAAAAGACCACTGTAAAAAAAAATACATAAAGTCTGGCTCCTTGGAAGTACATATAGAGAAATGAGGGGTGGATCAACACATTTGTAAAGTACATTTAAGACATTTTGTGTAATTATGATAGTTTCTTTTAAAAAATGTGTCTGTTTAACAGTTTATTGGCATTCACACCTGCATTTATATTTCTTGATAAATACAACAGAATAACTACACTGTAGTCTGCTGTAAACCACATGCTTAGTAGGGGGACCTAAAAGGAGAAGTGTTAGTAGTAGTAGTAGTCAGTAAGAAGTTTCTGGCTGTTTTAAATCGTAGCTACTGCTGTGAGACACTGTACTACTGCACATCCCATTTTCTAAAAACTAAAAACTACCCCAGATGTGCCCCTCAGTAATGCACTCTGCTTTCCTGCCCCATCAGAGCACTTTCATGGAGTCGATCCACCAGCTGTGGAAAGAAAACTCGGTGTGTTGATGGATCTTATTTGGAAGATTTGAAGATTAATGGTGCTGCTGATATTACATGGTGCATAATTGTATAACTGTCTAGGTGTTTGGGGATGTTTCACACAGGAAACCCATGAGCACAACAATCAGCCATATATTAAACATAAGCCCGACACATTTAGCCTCTTTACCAAAACCTATAATTACGTCCGAGACAATCAGTCCCACAGTGCAGTTTTAACCCATAGTATAAATACAGCATTGTGTGAAGGCACGAGATGTTGTTGGAGCATTAGTCATCCACAGTGCTTTGTTTTGCTCCCTCAAGATGCGGTGCAGCCAACAGCACCCAGCCCCCACTACAGAGTCGTCCACTTTGACGTCAGCGGAGTCGACCTGACTAACAGCACTCTGGTCAAGGCTGAGTTCAGGATCTTCAGAGCCCCCAACCCACAGGCCCGGGCCTCGGAGCAGAGAGTGGAGCTCTATCAGGTATATCCATTATTCTCAGTGAGCGACAGTCTGATTTGATCTTAAAGTCAGAAGATTGTTATTTATAATTCAACCCAACACAGAAACATCTCTTATGTATCGATGAGATGGGGATCTAGCTCCTTCTGTGTGTTTGTTGTCTCAGCTGCTAAAGCCGGATGAAGACAGCACATCCACTCAGCGTTACATCGACTCGCGCACCGTTCAGCCAAAAGCAAAAGGAGCCTGGATGTCTATGGAGGTCACAGAGACTGTAAAGGACTGGGTGTCAGAGCCAGGTGAGCTTCAGCACCAGCAAGTCGTTACCAGCTTGCACTGCGATCCATACATCAGTGTTTGCACATCTCTTTCCCTTCTTCCCTCCCATAGAGAATAATCTTGGCCTGAAGCTGGGCGTCCACTGTCCCTGCTGCACCTTCGTCCCATCCACCAACAACATCGTTCCCAACAAGAGCGAGGAGCTGGAGGCCCTGTTTGCTGGTCTGTTGCAGTCTTTTATGATAGAAAGACTTTATAATCATGCATTTATGTGCACTGCAGATGCCGCTAAAAGCACTCTAGTCCAGGAACTGAGATTAAAGGGACCCAGTGATGATGATGATGCTCCTTATTCTGTCATATAAATTGTTAAAAAGGTAGATGCAGACGTAGGCCATGTGAGACTACATTTTAGGCTTCAGTCTAATTTAAATGTTTCAGTTTTGCTACTTATGCCTCTGAGTGACGTCAATGAGACATGCTGTCCCTGATATGGTCCTCTGAGCCACACAGAAGCCCCACCCACCCCCTGTTCAACTGTTTCTGAGGGGCAGCGAATCAGGAGGAGGATAGAGCCAAAATGGCTTGTTTCATTTGTTTGCTTCATTTTGTTACTGATTATGTCCTTAAAATCAGCACAATCAGCCTCTTTGCGCAGATGCTCGTTTTTAGATGGCTGTTTGGGATTCATCGTTAGTTGTACTGCAGCTACGTGAGATTGTTTTTCGCAAGAACAACTAAGCAAGACAGCCAGCGTGCCAGCAAGACTTAAGAAACTTCAGTTGTGTCTTGGCAGTCTTTTGAGTTGCGAAATGCAAAGTTCACAGATTTGGAAGAGTTGAAGATTTATGAGCGCAGCAAAAAAAAAAAAAAGATTAAAAAAAAATCCAGCAGGTCACAAAAAAGTGAACATAAATAACAAAAATGATTTATGAATCACTCACACACTATCTTACAGGAATAATGGAAAAACTGTTCCTCCACACAGTGATACTACTGAATACCAGACTGTCTGTGTTGCTTCATTTAGGCCCCCAAATTATGGCACTTTCCTCAGGACTTACTCTCAACTGAGCCAAGTCAGGTTTTTGCACACGTGGGGGAAAAGAAATTCAACTTGCGATACTGATGTAAGACAAGCAGGGGCTTGTTTTGAGCGCTCTGGCTCCTGTAGCTCAGAAAGAGTGAAGCAAAAAAATGATCCATGAAGTCAGACAAAGAGTCAGACCATCGTTTCTGCTGTAGGAAACATCTGGTTTACATATTACTTCTGTCATATTTGTTCAATGACATTCAAAATGTGCACAAGAACATTACTTCTGCTGCCTTCTTAGAAAAACAGAGTCTTTAGAGGGTAAGAATCAAAGGGGTGACGGCGCCTTTCACGGACAGATTCAGTAGTTATTGCTGCGTATGAAAAAACACTTTTTCTGGCACTCACACCGGGGCTGGCTGACTAACTTTAAAAACATCATGCACACAATCTTCTGCATTTTTAACAGTGCATTTACTTGGAATTTAAATATATTTGGATTGAAAAAATATGCTTAAAAAAAGTGTGAACTAAATGCCTCGGCCTGGCAGAAAGACAGCGTGGAGTTTTGGGAGGGGCAGCAGTCGCTGCTGCAAAATGAAAGCATTTCCCATGCTTAGAGTATTGCACAAACCATAGGAATTAAATCACATTAGCTTTGAAACCGCCCACAGACTCTGGTGGAAGACAGAAAGTTTTAGTTTTTCATCCTAAAAAAAAATAAAAAATTCCTCCTTCTGTAGGCGTGGATGATGAGCGGCTCCGTCAGATGAGGAAGCCTGGTCAGGTGAAAGGACAGGCAGACTTCAGCACCAAGACGCCGCACCTCATCCTCACCCTGCTGCCCAGCGACAGAGTGGATAACCCGGCCAGGAAGAACCGCAAGAAGAGGGCGGCCGCCATCGACACCTCAACCTGCTCCCGGTAGGCCGCCGACCAGCCGCTCGTGTGGTGGTTTAGTGCGACTGACTGACAGCGCTGACACTCCTCCAAGATTTGTAGTTTTGTAATTCTGAAATCTAGTTGTGGGGAGCACTCGGTTTCATTTTGTCTTTTTCCTCGTGACCCACTTTGCAGACAATTGCGCGGCAAAACTAACAGCGCTGACCCTGTGTTTAGACTGCAGGCCAGCGGGCATGCAGCGTTTTATTTAGACTACCTCACGCTGCAGGGGAAAACTCTGGCAGCCCTGCATAGTTATTACCATGTGATGGTTGGTTCTTCGATGGTGACCTGTGGTAATTTTCCCATGACACTGAAGAGAAGGGTGGGAGCTGAACTACATATTGTGTGTGTGTGTGTGTGTCTCAGTGGCTCGGACCAGGGCTGCTGCCTGCGCTCGCTCTACATCGACTTCAGGCGTGACCTCAACTGGAAGTGGATCCACGAGCCAAAAGGTTACAAAGCCAACTTCTGTGCCGGCAACTGTCCTTACCTCTGGAGCGCCAACAACCACTACAACATGGTGAGCCTCAGGGGTCAAAAGGTCACCTGGCTACTAACCAAATCTGTTTAATCTTTGTTGTTCTTTCTTATAAATTTTGCCATAAAGACTTTTAATAATCAATAATTGTGGTTAGTTAACAGCTGACATTTGACATGTTTTGCTTTTGCTAAGAAAAAAAATGTCTTTATGTCTGTTAAATTATGAATAATAATTGGATAATAAGATCAGTATATGTGCAGGTAATCTCTGTGAACCAAAATATAGGGGATACTCCTAATATACAGCTATGGGTGTAAGCACAGAAGCCCCACCCACCTGCAGTTTAAAGCTTCTGTTTGCAAGGGACAGCCAATCAGAAGAAAGCTGGGTTAAAGTGGTGGTTCTCAAACTGTGGGACAGGCCACACCCGGGGGCACAGAGCCACTGCAGGTGGGATTGTTATTTTCAACTCGCATTTTTATTTATTGTTAATGATTAATGAAAAACAATGTGGGTGTGTGGAGTGAAGTTAAAGAGGCGCATGCCAGGAAAAGTTTGAGAACCAAGGGAGAACAGCAAAAACAGCTGGGAGCGGCTGCACCGAGGCCCAGCATGAGGTAAATAAGGATTATTTTGAAGTGGGAATCATGCAAAGCTACACTAGTGCATAGTAGCTGGAATTAAACTTAATCTGTGCCCTTAATAGAACAGAATTGGTATAGGCAGTTTTTGGGCTTGTTACTAATTAGCCGAGTCCATGTGTGGATACCTCGATATTAGCAGCTTCCCATATCTCATGAGATCCTAGTTCAGACTAATAACTTGGATTACCTTCTCCAGTAGGACAAATGTGTTCTTTTTTTCAACATATATTTCTTTCCAATTTGGAGATTCATGACCTTTAGTGCTGAATATTTTGAATGGAAACAGTGACAGACTTCTCGCTGCTGAGACACGGCCAAATTATATAAACAGAAAACATCTGTGATTGTCAGAAAAATCTGAGCAGCTCCTCCTCAGCCCGTCTGCTAAAACACTCTGGTTTGGACCGAACTCCAATCAACGCTCGGCTTGACGTTAACATACAGAAAGTCTGAAATGCAGGCGACATTTTCCCGTAAGTGAGCCCTGAGCGCGCTGTTTGCGGCAGCTAAACACCACTGGTTAACCCCAGCATCATAAATGGGCTGACACCTCACAGAAGCCTGTTAAAGAGCACATAGGTTTATGCAACCCAGCTGGCCCGTCTCACTCAGCGAGGGGCTTGGCCTGTAGCCTCACTGACTCTCACCTTTCTTGTACTTCACTTTAATATAGATGTGTACAATTTCACATTTATTTTAACTTAAGTTTGCAGCAATTACACATTTTGCTGCTGTCAAAAAGTGGCTTTAGTTTAAGGCAGTTTGGCTGCTTTTGCTGTGCATGTATTTTGGAGAAACTGACAGGATGTACTTAAAGAAGTCAAAATTGATTTGATTGCTATAGATTTACTTAGAGCTCCCCCACATAAAATGCACAGAAAGCTACATTTTAACGTCTGAATATTAAGATTTAAAGCTAAAAAACGGACCTGGTAGGAATTAAACTTGAAAAGTTGGATAAGTGAGGGAAATGTAGATACTCTGGAAAACAACCATTAAAAGTTATTTTTAAACTGGAATAAAACAGGAAGTTTTGAATTATCTTGATTTAGCTTTATACGTGCTGTTTATATCATTTTTACCAGTAAACAGAATCAGTCAACCTTTTGTTATGTTTAGCTAAACTAACCAGATGCTGATATTAGGAGTGCCATTGAACCTCTCATCTAACTCTAAATAAGCAAATTTCCCAAAATGTCAAACTAATATTTCAGATTTGCCAACACATTTTTAAAAAGTACCAAAATAATCATGCAAAATGACGACAGACTGTATTTAAAAGATAGAGGTAGCCACTGGGACATTTGAAGCTTTGGGTTTAGCATTATGGCCACCGCAATCTTTAACCCGAGTGTTAGTCGCTTATGCCAGCAAACATCATTTAAGTGCATTCAAAGACTGTATGGGTGCACTCAGACACAGATACTAGAGAGATGCTAATTAGCGCTAAAAATAATAGTGTTGTAGAATTTTACTCCCTAAAACTGGAGCACAAACTTATTACTCTTATTAGACTCATATTATTTGTCAGTTATTTGCATTAAAAATGCTCCAAAAGGCACCAACACCTCAAACACCAACTCAAGTTAGCAGAGGTAAGGCCAAGTAGGCACTAACTGGTCACTCAGACCTGTAACTGCAATCCTTAATACAATGAAACAGGTCAGTTATGAGAAAAAAAAATCATGTCCGCACAGATGTTAAAAAAGGTAAATTCTTTAAAGAGACCTAAACAGCTTTTTAAGCATGAGAGTCTGTGGGGATTGGCTCGTTTGTGGCCATTAGATGGACTGCCGTTTCTGGCACTTACCACATTGGCTTCATTTTTCAGCCCTGCTTAAACTTGGGCTGAACTTCACACTTTTCAGCATGTTCATTCATCACTCGCAGCACTAAACTTTGGATAAATCGCTCTAACATCTGCTCATTTCTGTTCCCGGGTCAGATTCTGCCCCTCTACAACAAGCTGAACCCCGAGGCCTCCGCCACACCCTGCTGCGTTCCTCAGGACCTGGAGCCCCTCACTATCATGTACTTCATAGGCCGCACACCGCGTGTTGAGCAGCTTTCCAACATGGTTGTGAAATCCTGCAAGTGCCGCTGAGGGAGGCAGACGGACTGATTTCAGGACCAAAGCTACAAACTGCTTCTCTCAGGGGGGGACACACTGATCCTCTGTTCATTAAGCTTCGCACCTCAGACTCATGAGATGTTATTTTTTTAATGCTACATGACTCCAGTATCAGGATTTTGCTTCCAAACTTCTGCTCTTCACGCTCTGGAACTTTCTGTTTGACTGGAACACTGTAAATACGGCAACTCAGCTCTATTAAACCCGTACTTTGATATTAAAATGAAATGGGGGTTGCTGTGCGCCTGCTGCATGAAAAGGATTCTTTTTATCAGGAGTTTGATTCCCCCTCTGTCGTTCTCCTGCGGCCGTGGGCAGCGGGGGAAAAGCTGACGTGTTTGCTTTAGGTTTGATGGTGTTGATGAGAGGGAGGCGGTGTGGAAAGGTTTGCAGGCTGGCTGAGATCTTTAGGCGAAGGAGGCCGGGAACAGATAGAAAAGAGAGAGAGGAGCTGTGTCCAGGCAGAGGCACCCGCCAGCTCTCTGCGGTCCCGGGCTGAAATCTGCCTGCCGTAAACAGGATGTGAAAGATTTCCAGACACCGACCCGACCACTCACGGAACGCCAGATTTAAACGCTCCCCTCATCTCCGCTGTTGCGCTCTCTCTCTCTCCCTCTCTCTCTGGTGCTCAAAGTTCTGGGATTTGTGGTGGGAGGAGAGAGGGAGAAAAGAGAGGCTTTGAAAATGAGACGTGGGATGATAGGGCTGTATTTGGAAAAGCTGCAAGTTTGGAAGGTGGTATTTTGCAGCCTTAGCAAATTTGTAACTATTCGGGTCTGGCTCAAACATTTCATAATCGCACTCTCATGCTCCTCTGCTGAATGTGCCTTCATTATCTTTATGTAAAAAGCTGTTGACTCATTGCTGAGGTTGTATTTTGTCATACCTATGTTTATCATCGCTCAGAGTCTCTCACTCTCTCTCTACAGCCGAGTATTCACATTGACCACTTTTGATAGAATGTCTAAAAGCTGAAAATAAAATAAAATAAAAAAAACAAAACATCCCCAGGGCTCATTTTAAATATAGACTCTCTGGTATGCCGGTGGTTTGTGTGTGAGAGCGAGACAGACAGCGACTGGGCGCGCGTGTGTGTGTGTGCACGTCTGCACTGTTTGTGTGTGAATGTAGCTAGTGAGGTCATGCGTGATAGCACAGAAGTCATTCCTGAGGTTTTATTGTGAATTTTATTGTGATTGTGTCTGAAAACAACAACAAAAAAAGCTCCATCTGCAGCAGATCTTCTCTCTGTGACTTTTCTTAAATGTATGCATGCATGTGTTTTGAAAACCTGCTTGACAGTAAAGTTTTAGCTGAATAGGAAGCAGTCCAGTCCCAGTAGGTATGAGGCTGTGACAACAACATCAGTTATAGAAGTATTAAGCGGGCCAGTGGTTTTTATACTCTCACTGGTGTTACGCCACAGGAAATATCGCCTGCAATAAAATCGTGTAACTGGATACTTCAAACAATATTCTGGTCAACCCTTTGAGGATGTGCTGTTGTAATAAAACGAAAAGAAAGAAAAAAGCTTATAGATATCTGAATGTTTCACTTCAGGTGGATTAAATGAAAACTTCTCTCCCCAGGTTGGCTTAAGTGCTTTTTCTTCGACGCTTTATTCAGCGAATCCATTTATTTACTTCAAAGTTTACACATTGTGCTCATTCCCAGCTTTACACTTTTACTAGAGTAGCTTTGCATAAGTCTCAGTTAAAAATAATCCTTATTTATCTGACACTGGGTCTAACTTTATTTTGCATGAAACAAGCTGTTTTAAGACAGCTGTCTTCTGATTGGCTGTCCCTCATGAATAGAGGGTTTAAACAGGAAAGGGGTGGGGCTTCTGTGCCTACAGCAGTGAACTGTCCCTTCTATCAGTGACATCACGCAGAGTCAAAATGAGAAAAAAAAATGTCTGGAACTTGGTTTTTAGTGCAGTGTGAAGCTGGGCTTTTGGCTCACAGGGATTATTTGCACATAGATATATGGACAGAAGCACTGAGCCACCGACACATTACACCTACACGAGCTGCTCGGCCGTGGAAATCAATGCCAAGAAACTTCCGGTGCACAATTTTTTTGTGCCAGTGATAATGTCAGAGGAGGTTTGGAGCTCTGCAGTTATTGAGTCAGCAAAACGTTGGTGGTTCAGCATTTGCTGACCCCGGTCTGGATCTTTGCGTGGTCTGTAACTTCATAGCTGAACTGCTGTGGTTTCGAAACGTTTCCAGTTTGCAGTAACACCGCTTACGGTTGATCATGGAAAATGCTGGAGGGAAGAAATTTCACAAACTTGACTCGTTTTAGAGGTGGCATCCAATTACAGCACCACGCTGGAATTCAGTGACCTCTTTAGAGCGACCCATTTTCCCCTGAATGTTAATAAAGGCAGACTGCGTATCTATGTGCTGGATTTTGTACACGTAAACTCAAAGATTAAGAGGTGTGGCCCACTATTTTTATTCATATAGTCTACTCTCACCTCACTGTTTGAAACTCTGGATGTGAGCATCCAGCACTTTAACCGTGTAAATGACAAATAATATGGAGATATAAGGAGTATAAGCATAACAGGTCCCCTTAAATTTTCTTAAAACAGCAAAGTGAGCTGTTTTCAGAGTCTTTTGAGTGAACTGTAAGAATTAGAGGTGGGTGGATCGATCCAAATATCGATAGTAACGATACCAACACTGGTTCTGGTATTGAAACGATACTAGCATGACTGTAACAATACTTTGCTTCTTTCAAGTTTAGTATGTAGCCCACTGAACTGTGTTAGTTATTTTACATCCCAGGTCTCCAAAAACCCAGTTTCAAAACACATGAAAAGCTGGTGTGTTGTGTTAACTAATTATTGTGGAAAGTAACAATCGCAGTGATATAGCGCTGATTAAAATGTGTTCAGAATTTGCAAATTGAGAATTCATCTCATAAGTCATGGCACACTACTCTCCCCCAATAAACTGCCTGAATAACTTAAAATGATTGGTACTGATATCTGCAATTCTGGCCCTGTATTTATTTGGTATTGGACTGATACCAAAATTTGTGATGTGGCACAGGACTACTGTGAATGAGGGGAAGTGTGAATGTTGAATGTTTTTGTTGAAATGTCCAGGCAAGTATATACATGTTAAATGTCAAGATCTATGTGTTTATTAAACAGCATCAATTAACACACAACATCAGGTTTTTTATTTCTATATGATAACTCTTTATAATTAAACAATAAGAACAAGTATTCTGATGTCCTGTAATCATTTTGAAGTTATAATTAACTTTTTAACTTTAACTTTTTGTACAAAGTATCAGATCAGTATCGTCGATGCCACAATGAATTTTACTTGGTATCGGTTTGGAAAGGAAATCAGTGGTATCACACATCAAGAGTATGAATGTGACTCTACTTTAATCTACTTTAAATTCCCAGAAATATTACCAGACATGACTTATAACCCTGCTCTGACCACAAGATCAACACTCAGCAGAAGAATAACTGAGACATTTTAACCCTAAAACACCCGTTTTAGGGTTTTCCTTGTTTCTTGTTCCTGAACCGAACGGTTTCTGTCATATTTCAGGCCGTTTCCAGAACAAAACGACTAGGTGTGCATCAAAAGTTAGTGAAAACCCAGAGCCTGTCCTAATGGTCGCCAAACCTCATCTTTATTGATATATAGTGAGGTATATTTGTACGAATCATTAAGAGTACAGAGGAGGTCGTCAGGTGGCATCTTCATGACATTTGGGTGGTGAGCGATAACCCTCTAAAGCCTGACCTGTGAAATAATTGCCAGAAAATTCTAATTTTTTAACTGTCTGATTAAAAATTAAATATTAACTTACATATATATCATTTGTATCATATTTGCTACTTTTTGTGTAATTAAAGATTTATTGTGCTATTTAATGTTTCTATTCAGGGGGGAATAACACTGATGATACAGACATCTGAAAAACTTACTAAATCTCATCAAATATGACATACTTGGTGTTATAGGGTTAAAAGTAAGAGGCTCAATGCCACAATGAAAAAAAAAACATAAAAAATGGTGAAGGTGAAGAATTCAATCAAGTTTCCTAATAATTAATTCCCCAGCAGCAGTCCTTGTAATGATTTGCTAATTTGCTCTCTTCACAGTATAAAGAAAAATAAAATGAAATCATTCTTATTAGAATTTATTAGAATATATTTTTGAGCAAAAATAAATTAAAAAGTCTGTTTTTCCTCATTTTCTTTCTTTTTTTTTTGTATGTGTTTAAATGTTAGGCATTAATAGCATTGACAGCACTAATGCTTTTTCCTTTAATCTGTGTATTCATCCATGTGTTTATTAGCCTACATATAGGCTATATTTATAATTTGTGTCATTACTCACACACAACTCTCTGGCTCAGTAGGCTGTTTATTTATCTAGAGGCTGGAAGTCTGTTTAATCAGATTAAAAAAAAATAACCAACTGAAGTCGGCTTTTTTATTTACACTTTATAAATAGAGATATATAGTGTAAGAAATGAATTATCGCACAGTCAAAGGCCCTTGATTCATCCAGTTTCTCAAAAGCAAGCATCTAAAACCCAAAACTGCCTGCATGGCTGGATGCTGCTGCACGGAGCTGTTTTTGGTGAACTGATCCTTTAATGTCCTTTAATGCAGTGTGGTTTAAATCCCAGCTGTGAAAGTAGCTTAAAGAGATACAAACTGTTCTAGAGGCATTACAATAAAATTGCTTTTCTGAGCAGCAGTGAGTGTGTGTGTGTGTGTGTGTGTGTGTGTTGGGGTGTCAGTCCTCGAGCTGTGGTGAGCCTCCCTCCCCCCTGAGTAAACTAGCCCCAGCATCTGTTAGTCTTTTCCACTTAACTACCCCTTGCTAAATCCAACCTGTACTTATCCCACGGTAGAGCGCCTTGCTCCGTCTCACATTGAGTCCCTCTGTCCTTGAGAAGGACGTCTGTTGTGGATGTCGACCCCTGCCCACACGCACCCACTGACACACACGCGCGCACACACACACACCCTGCCTTTGACCTATAGAAAAAGAGTGAGTGCAGCACACCCCTACATTCATATATTCTGCTATTTTTGCCTCCATGCAGCAAAATATGCCATGATTAATGGTTCTGGCTCTGGAAACGCTCGCTCACCCTCCCCGTGCTGACCAAAAAGTAAGAGAGCCTGTTAAAAAAGTAATTCATTCACACAAGCACCTTATGGTCTGAGCTCACATGACAGGTCTGGACGAGACTTTAGATTGAAGTCATTCCTATTTATTCCTGCCAGTTAAATTAAAACGCAGCTCTCGGGGCAACAGGGCACCATAAACACAAAATATAGAGTTATACAAGCAGCAGAGCGGCAACGAGACACAGGAGTAAACAGAAGATACCGATCTGTGGCCTCGGCGTTATTGAAGCCATATTCGTCGAGCAGTCAAACTTGGAGAGCAGAGCTGTACTTGAGGCCCTGCTGGGACAAAACAGCTGTAAGGCCAAACCCACAGAGGCCTGGCTGTTCTGGTTTTTAACAGACGAGGGCGTCGTTTCTGTGCTTTCTTTCAATAACTGCACAGCAGGGTGGCTCAGTTCGACTTTCAGTCTGTCTGGTGTTGACTGTGGGAGTCATATTTATTACAACAGGAGTTTTTTGTGAAGTGGGCCACATTTTATAAAACAGAAGAAAAGATTTAGTAGCTATTTTTTCCCCTTGTAAGTAATCACTAAATCTACAGCTTTCACAACACTTTATCACCCTTGGATTAAAACAAATCCTCAACTAATACAAAGACTTACAATTAAAAAGTATTTAGTCTAAAACTAGGCTTAGGCTAAGACTAATTTTTAAAAACAGGGTTAAATCACATACGAAAATACAGCCTTTAACAGGCTTTTAGCTGTGTTGTTTTTTTGTTTTTTAAATGTAGTTGAAATTTATTTTTCAAGTATTTATATGCAAAAGTTGATCTTTTAAAAAAATATGTTATCTTTCCTGTGGGTTTTGTTTTTTAAAAAGATGTTTGAAGATGTGATGCCCATCCTTCCACTGATACCATTTCTGATGAGGCTTCAGTGACCAGTAGATGGATCAACTGAAGGTCCAGCTACACCTTGCTTGTCCTGTGCCAGTTTTTTTGTTTGTTTTTGTTTCTTAAGAATATGGCGTTCAGATACTGTTTATCGGCTGTAGATAGAAAAATCATTTTTCTTTCCTCAAAGATAAACTGCTGAGATATATTTTGGAATCACCTTGCTGGTGTAACAATCCCATCTTACGCCTGTCGAATTGTGTTATCTTTGGCATTTCTAATAAACTCAACTGGAGGCATGGGAAGAAAGTACGTTAATAGCAGCCTGTCAGGAAAACACCAAGTACCTTAAAAAACAATTATTCTCTGAAAATGGTCAGGCCCTTGGAAGCAAAATATAAAGAAACAAGGGATAGTTCAAGGCTTTTGCACAATGCTGTGCATAATTAATGTTTAGTTATGTACATATTTAGCATAAAGCCCAATAATATCCTTGCTGTCCACCTTCATTTTATTGTACAAAAAGAAAAAGTAATAAATAATTTAAAAAAGCATCCGTCATCACTCAGGACTCATAATGACATTACTGCTGATGGCTCGTAGTCAGCGCACCACTATGAGCCATCTACTTCCAGCTTTCTGTCAACAAGTGACAGAATATGTGGGAGCCTGAATTTGAGTGTAGACTCTGTCCGTTACTTATTTTGGCACTGGTGGAGGGCAAAATGCCACGATAGCCTCGTGTAGTAGTTCCTGCTTCTGAGTAAGCAGGAAGAGGCAATTTATCCCACATTCACCCAAAGCTGAGTTCATTCAGGACTTTCAGGTCAGGTCATTTCACATCTGCTGCTGCACAGTGCGCCAACTGTGTGCCTGTCTTATTCTGTCTGCAACGTGTGCTGAATATAATATAATGAACCTTTAGAGATTTACAGACAAGAAATTAACATATATTATGTAAGCGAATGAGAGCGCAGTCCATATGTAATGTGTGTTTAAAAAATACAGTCCTTCGTAAATTAAATTGCACGCTCATATTGATCATGACCAAAGTTTAAAATAATGAGGTCAGTGTATTTACTGTAGAACTAACTCTGTAAAACCTCATTCTCAGTTTTCTTCTGCTCTCTGTTTTGTATGACATCATTGAGAGCATCTCAGGCACACAGCTCGTGGTGTGAACACGGAAGCCCCACCCACCCGATATTCAAACCTTTTGTTTGTGAGCTGCGGTCAATCAGAAGAAAGTCGTCTTAAAGGAAGATGAACTAAAACTGATTTGTTTCAGACGGTGGATGAACTGAGGGTTCTGCACCAAAGCACAGTTTAAAATCGATAAGATAATTTTAATCTGTGAATTATATGAAGCTCTTCTAACAGATTCCAAGAATAAAAATATGGATCTTTTTTTTTTCTGCACTTCTACTTTACAGCACGCCCATAGATCACCTGCCTGACATATGTACAGAGGCTGTGTCCTCACTGCTGTAGCCTGGGTGGTGATTCTGCCTAGAGCCATGTGCTGAGTATCATCTCACCATCCTGTCACTACCTAAAAAAGCCAGGATGGAAAATATTTACTTCTAATATTCACGGTGATAATAAGAATGAAAAACTGGGTATATATCACCGTATGAGCAATGTAGGCACTGCACAATGTAAAGGCACCCTGTAGAGTTTATCTCTTTCGCTTTCAGACACCAAAACACACTCTGGGTCCCTGTGAGGCTTTTAGTGTTAAACCACTAAGTGTTTTATTAATACATGTTCTAATTTGCAAATTTGTGATTAATAAAGTAGAAGACCCAAGTGTAAAAAGTTTAGTGACATTAAAAGTGAAAGAAAACTCCACAGTTACAGGATAAAGACTTAATGTCTGGTAACAGTGTGTAATAAAGGTCTCTTTAATGCGTCACTGTAAGATACATCTGAGATATCAACTGGCAAAAAAATGGGACATGAAAGGTTATTACACAGGATACAAAACTTGTTATTGTTCAGAAAAAGAATTAAACCTAAAAACTGTAGCTGTTAAGTGGAAAAGTGGACACAAGCAGAATATTACCAACAGTGATTTAAGGACACTTGATTGCAAAGTTGGTACGCAGCACAAACTTAACTTAAATAACTTTGGTGTGACTGTATCAGGTTTAATCATCTGATTTTCTTTTATAACCCTTTTTAAACACAAAATAGTCAGAAGATCCTTTAGTAATCACTTTCCATCATCCCTAAAACGACTGATAACTTAAGGACCTGAATGACAGCACACCATGGTGCAATGGTGCAGTTCTGATGAAGAGTCATGGCCCTGCCGTGCTCTGAATCGGATGCGCTGTTGTTGTGGTTTTGGTTTTCCACCCACGGCAGGGTTTTCACCCGGGAATTTTCGTGGTGGTAAGCCACCCAGATCCTGGCGCATCTTGTCTTTTGATCAATTTAGTTAGCACATGACGACCTCACACACTTTAAATACATGTCGTTTACTGTTCAAAACACATCCCCGGATGTCTTTCCCTTTTAAGGCTGCATTTCATAAAAAGATTTTTTTCTTATGTTAACGGAAGTGGTCTTTTTTCAGGCGAGGCAGCCGACAGCTTCTGTAAATTGCTGTGTGTAAACCCTGCACTGAATTTAAAGCTTATAGTCGCTCCTCAAAAGTTAGCCTCACAAAGCCAGATTAAATCTCAGATTTAATGTCAAGTCAGTGCCGAGAATCCACTGAGCTCAGCAGCTCAAAACAAAGCAGATAATTATGTTTAATGACATCTTGGTAATGATGTGACTCACTCAGTCCCGAACCTTGTTTATGAGAGGAGCGGTCCACTTAAAGTTGCACGATTAGCCTCACTGAAAGGCAGATTTATCTCTTTGTCAGAGCGTCCTGGAAACTCAAACCCAGCTTATATCGTTTTAGTCACACAAAAGAAACAAAGCAATATTGGTGAGGTGGTTTTGTGAGGCTAACTATAAACACCAAAAAAAAGAAAAGAAAAAAACCCCAGAACAACAGCTGCATTCATGAGGCGTGCTTCTTCTAGCTAGCAGCAGTGTAGAACCACAGCTGTGATGTCGGCTGTCACATCTGGTTTTTGTCAGAGTGCAGGAGCTGCATCTGTCTGGTTCTCAGGTAGAGACAGGTCTGAAAGAGAGGATGCTGGAGGTGGTGTTGGAGGATGGGATGGTGGCTGCATGTCACTGCTGGGCCTCCTCACCTGCAGCGAGCTCCACCTGTGTGATAGCTGTCTCCTCATGCTCTTCTTCTTAGGCTTTCGGGGCCGTCTCCTCTTCTCCTCGCTCGTGGACTGGGGGCGGTCGCTCAGGGTGTCTGAGGACTCGTCAATGTACGCCAAGTTCTCGCCGAAGAAGTCGAGCAGCTGGCAGCTTGGTGAGGGGGCTGTGGTGATGTCAGGGGAGGGAAGGAGGACTTCGGGTAGGGATGTGGGCACAGGGGAGGAGCGAGAAGAAGGACTAGGGTCAGGTGCCTGATTGTGGCTATTGTTTGGTGCAGATTCATAGTTCTCTGCTGGAATCTGTTCATCTTTCCTCTCTGATGTGTCCATATGTGCGAGTCTTACTGATCCCTCCTCCATGCTGCCGATGGTTTGGCACGGCTGGAACTTGTGGGGTGCCATGTAGGAGAAGGAGACTGAGGAGCCATCTGACCTGGAGTCGAATGCAGACTCTGATCCGGAGAGTGACCCTTCCTGCATACGTGCCCCTACAACATCCAGCTGTGAACCGGAGCGGGTTACGGGGACGGAGAATGAGCGGGACAGGTGGTGAGGAAATGACCTGCCCTGCCCTTGCAGAACCCCAGCAGGGTCAGCCCTGTACCCTGCTGCTGATATGGGGACCGTTCCCCCTCCAGCTGGACTCACCTGTGCCTTTGAGTTAGTTCCCCTCACCCCGGACGAATTGTCCTGCAGTTCACTCATGGAGCTCGACAGGCCAGCCCAGTGACTTGACAGATGTCCATTCTCAGGTCCCCCTCGCACCCAGTATCCCAGTGTACCCTGGGCTCCCCGGCGGATGCGTCGGCGCTCGCTGCGTTTCCAGCGCCGCCGCTGCAGGAGGAAGGGGTCATTAAATTCCAGAGGATTTGGGATGCGGAAATCCTTGGACATGCTCTGCGTCCAGTCTGTTGCGTGGGCCCTCAGCTCCTCCATCTGACAGGGACACAGGTTAACATTAGCTTTACAACATAGAAGAACTGACACAAGTTTAGGTGTCTCTCAGATAACATTTCTGGAGTCTCCCACCTCAGCACGAGTCCTTTTAGACAGCACCCTCAGCCAGTTGCCTATCATGGTGAGGATGGAGGCAAAGTAGGCAAGACCAAACACGATCCACAACAACACCAGAAGCTTGAAGAAGCTGTTGTCTTCAGTACCTCCAACTCCATGCAGAGAAAGTTGATTTAATTTTTAATGTGATGTTCCAGTGAACCTCACAGAACAGAAATGACAGAAAGAGGCAGTCCTGTACAAAGTTGACCATTCATCATTAATCAAACCTCAGCGGGGGGGAGACTACAACTGTAACTTTGTGGGTGGATAGATAAACCTCGTTTTTGGGTTATTTGTATATAAATGTCATATAAATTGTGAGTGAGTGATATGTTCAGGCTGTTTGACCTCTGACAGAAACAGACCACAACCCAAATATATGCAGTTTATCATGAGAATGACGAAGAAAAGAGCAGAAAAACAATTCATATTTGTGTTAATTAGAGGTTTCATATAAAAGGGCACGGAGGTGCCTAGGTCGCGGCGTTCTGAAGTTATTGCATTCACATTTTTTTCAGAAAACTTGCCCTGTTATTCAAATTTGTTCCGTCAATACAACTATGATATCAATTTGAAATGCCTACATCATCTAACTTGAGGTATCGCATTCACAAACTTCGGTGTCCACACCGCCCAGGTGACGAGAATACCCCATTAGACTTTCAAGGCAGAGGGCTAAAAAGCACTCCCTCAGCAGAGGATCACACTTACAGACTGTCATTTGGAAAAGGATCTGTGAAAATGCCCATAACACCACCATTAAACTGAAACACTGAACATAATCTGCTCTAGACCAGGTTACATGTTCAGCGTATGTTGCTACAACTTCACCAGGTAAAAAAACGAACAACCATCAACTTGTTGTCCATATTGATTAAAATGTGTGTGTGTTTGGTCTGTACCTGGTACATAGTCTCCAAAGCCAACAGTGGTGAGCGTGATGACCACAAAATAGAGCGACTCCAAGAACTTCCAGTTTTCCACTTTCTGAAACACGACCGTCGGCACAGCGAGGAAGATCAGACAGCCAATTAGGATGGAGAGAACTGCTGAGGTCACACGCACAGTCGTGGGCCTGACCTTGCGTTTCTATCAGAGAGAAAGATAGAAGCCAATACAGATGCAGAATAAATCAAGATCAACACACATGTAACAAAAAAGTGCAAGAATTAAACTAGATTAAACCAAAAAGGAAAAAGAATTGTCTGGATTCAGGCTGAATGTTGAGATTTGTCAGCTTTTTATTGGTCCACACTGGCATCTTCATCACATGTCTGCATCTCAGGATTATTTTCTTTCTTTATACTAAAGTCATGGACTGAAGATGTAACAGTGGGGCAGCTTTAATACCCATCTGTTTGAAAAGTCCTGAAAGAATAAACAAGTACAACATGACTTGACTATGGTGACCATGATACTCTTGAATAAGGCTGCTGTCCGGTTGCTCTAAGCTGTGGCTAAAGTGCTGATTCAGCTGATCTGACTCTAATGCGGGTTTTATATGAAAATTCACTTACAAAGACAGTTTTTGTGATTTTTATTTTATTTTTTGTGGAGAAATAAGGTTCCAAGAACAGCTTTATTTAGTAGTTCAGCTTTTCTGGTAGGACTCTGCAGCCCAACTGACAAACATAATCTCTGCCTGGGTTCCCTGCCTAGTCGGACATGTACAAAGCAGCTCATTTAGGAGCTGCCAAAATCAGATGCCCAAACTGGCTCCTTTCGATGTTAAGGACTCTATTCTGAGCTTCTACCAAGTGACCAAGCTCTTCACTTTATCTGTAAGGCTGAGCCCAGACATTTGGTTCTTGCATGGTTCTAACTTGCAACTTAGAGAGAACCAAACAGTTTACTGCGTAGAGCACTGATAAGAAGTCTGTGCCTTGTAGGTTTAAAGCTGTTTACTCCTAAGTTTTGGCTGATGGGCAGGACAGACCATTCTCACCAGGAAGAGGGTCTCAATCTTGGCCACAGCTCTCCGCAGCACCGTGCCCATGTGGTCGCCCACTCCAGCGAGAAGTATGCCAAACATGGGGATGCCAACCAAAGCGTAGCACACGCAGAACAACTGGCCGTAAGGCGTCCGAGGTGAGAGGTTCCCAAAGCCTGTTTGAAGGATTAATCAAAAAGACATGACGCTAGTTATAAAAGCTGACATGCACAAACAATTTAAAGAGGGACCTTGTGTAATTATTTTAATTAGTAGGGCGTATTAGAAAATATTCATCAGCTGTGACTCTACAATTCATGAATACTTTGTTGACCAGAAAAATAAAGCTACAGTTTGATCACATTTTAAGTAGCGTGTCTTTGAAACAAGGACATAAATAAGCTCTAGTGTGACATTTATCAAGCCATAAAAACACCTGCAGGCTAAATCCTTGCAAATTTAGATGATACCAAACTACATTTAAATGCTTCAGTGAAAATAATGCAGGTAACACTTTCTCAGAAAAGAGAATCTCAACAGTGCATCAGGTGGATCATTTTGTCACTCAGAGAGCAATGTTTCCCCTGCAGGTGAGCTCTGTCACTTACCTATGGTGGTGATGATGGTGCCACAGAAGAAGCAGGCAGACGCGATGTCCCAGCGGGTGGTCAAGTTGGCAGGAACTCTGCTCACATTCAGGCCTGCCTCGACTGCAGACATCAAACCCTGAAGGAATTTAATTTTTCATCCAAGTTTTATCTATTTGTTCATTTTATTTACTCACATTATGGGTGTATTTATAATGCATGGACCTCGTAGCGTACATAAAGAACGATATTAAGTAAAATCTGGAAAATAAAAGCAGCACGTGGTAAACAGTAGGAACTTAAAGATGGTTAAAAGGACGTGTTTTAACACCTTGTTTAATGTGAGATTAAGAAAAATACATGTAGTCTGGAGGATTATGTTCCACTCGAATTCAGACTTTGTGAAGCTCAATTTCAAATTAAAACATTCAAGTTACAAAAGCCCATCTGGTTTGAGCGATAATGTTACTACAGCAATTTGGTTATTTACATTTACATTCAGCATCTTTAATTTGCTGTTAATCTAATACCGACTGGAAGCTTCGGCCTTCTGACGGCACACTTCTAAATATTTACTCACTAATGTTAAACAGTGTGCACTTTAAAACAGCTCAACTGTGCTGACATAACTTCATTTACATGGAAACAAATCGAGTAAGCCTAAAAAATATAAATACTTCAGTGCTACTTACTTTGACCACCTATCCCACACAGGTGATATGACCCCAGATATTTCTGTTTTGTTTTTTCCTAATTCCGTTGCCGTTTTTCCTAATTCCGTTGTGTTTTGTGAGCTTTTGCAGCATTTTTCTTATTGCTGGTGTTTACTTAAGTTGCAGTCCATTTGGCCTCTCAGGGCCACCGTAAATAAACCATATTTTAAAGCTGCTTCAGAGTGTGAGTGGGATAATAGTGACGTACTGTGTCCACTGATACCTGTACAAGCTCGTGAAAGTCCGACTCGGTGACGCAGTAGTTTTTCATGAGGAATTCTTTCTTGGTTGCAAGCAGCTTTTCATGTGCCAAGGTCTCTGTGGGCTTTTCCAGGGTGACAAAAACAAATGCTCCCATCACCAGGTACAACATGACTCCCACCAGCAGGGTGGTGAGGGTAGTGCACCGCATTTTCTCCCCGCCTTTCTCCCTGCCCCTCCAGGGTTAAAGGGTCTCAGCTCACAGGTCCAGATCTGGTTGGGATCTCAGTCAGGATACAACTGGCCATAAACAGGAAGTTCCTTTAGAGAGGTGCTACATATGCAAGCACGGAAATATCTTTTATAAAAAATAAAAATAAAAAGCACCACAAGTGTTCTTGGAAGACATCTGTGCATCAGGCCCAAACCTGAGAGTCACTGACACCAAACGTGACAAACTACTAACATGGTGGAAAATAATGACAAGCACTTTAATTTAGTGAGACTTTCATGGCTTGATTTGTATGACTGTTATTAGACAGGTGATTGAGTGAATCCAGGTTGTTGGCACACAGTGTGGATGTTTCAGAGCTGTTGCACAAAACGTTTTCTGCATTAAAGGTCCTTAAGTCACACTGCATGTACACTGAGCGACTCGCTGGTCTTTTAATTAACATTCAACTAGTCCAGATTGTCCAAAAGCAGAGCTGTCACTGATGCGATAGCTATTGTAAGAGGTATACGTGACAAACAAGCCGTCCTCTTTCAAGTTTACAGTGTTATAAGACTTCAGATGTTCGTGTCGGTGGGTACTTCCCAACGTTATACAAGATTTTATCACAAAATTGTTCTTTAAAAGCTTTTTGCATGAAACAGACTGGATTTTTTTTTTTTTGCCCTCGTTTCTCAAGCCCTCAGGTAAGATTAAAAGGTGAGGCACAAAAGAGCATTCATGATGTTGCACTTTGAGAAATAGCATGCAATCTGTTACAAGGCCAGCTGATGAAAATGACACACCATAGACCAACATTTACTTGCCAATTGATTCTGGATTTTTTTTTTTCCCAGCATACATGTAAAAAGTAAATGAGATAAATATAAATATAAGCCCTAATTTCAAGTCACAGCTGTTTCCTCAGGTTACACTGAGGAAAGATGGCAGGTAAAATCAGTAGACTGACAACTTTGCTTAGACAAAGATCATTTCCACTGACGCAGTGTGAGATGTTACTGACGTTGGGACTTGTTTAACTTGGAGTGTGACAAGAGACACTCCTAAAAACAAACCATATCTTAAACCCAAATCGAGATGTGGTTCTTTGAAATGGAAAAAAGGTGCTGCGCTTTAAGAAATGCATCCAGCGTGATCATAGTCTAATACAGCAACAGCGATAGTCCTATTGAAAGGAGCTATTCAAAATGCTTTCTGTAGTCTCCATGATAATGAATGTTTTATAATTGAGAAAAATAACAAAGACAGTACCTTAACTCACTGGAGTCAGGAGCTCATCCCATGTTAAAACTCTAGAAATCAGCTGATAGAGAAATATCGAAACTCCTTCTTTTTCTTCCTCTTCTGCTCGCTCTGCGACGCCTCCAACGTCAGGGTTCAGGAACGGATGATTGCGTGTCCATTTCCTTCCCCTTCAAGCCATTTGAACACTTTCAGGTGCACAGAAGTACAGACTAGTTCAGGTCAAAAACAATCAAGTATCTAAAGTGTAAATCTATCAGAGTAGTTCCAAACTGGCGTATCTCCTCAATTCTTTTTCAGCAGGGTATGGGTGGCATTAAATAAATGTTCTCATTGCAGGGTGTTTGTCATAATATCTGGAAAAAACTGACACACACCAGGCCACCCTGCCAGTGGGTGCACAAATGATTACACTTTGCCAGAACTCCAAACATACATCTTGACATTAATCGAAAACATGGTTAGGTCTTATCTTCATTTGGCTACTTTGAACCGTGTTTACCTTTGAGTCGGATACCCAGAAAAACAGGACTGGGATTTAGGAGCTTCATGCTTTGGGTCGACTGGCCCCGGTCGTCTCCACGTGGACCTTGACAGTGTTCTGAGATTTCCCAGAGTTTGGCCAACTGTTAGCATTCTGCGCTAATGGACTGCTGGCTTTGGTTTGTGTGGACAGTCTAAATCTCTGTCCCTGGCGTCAGCACTGGCAGATTATTAGTTATCACAGTCTAAACCTACACAGGCATATTTTTATATTTTGCTAAGATGTGAAGTGAGGGCGACGGAGAAAGAGACTGCATGCGTCTGACAGACTGTGATCTAATCCCAAATTAAACAATGCTGCAGGTGGGGTAATAAATCATACACAGAGCTGTTTGGAAAGAGGCACAAAGCTGGAACAAGATGTGTACATGCTGTTCTTCGGTTTGCATGTAAGGCAGGTGTATAAAAGAAATCCAACCCAGGAATGTCAAACTTACTTCACATCATTGGCCACATACAGCTCACTTTGATGTGAAGTGGGTTGAACCACTTAAACTACATGGTAAACATGTAAAGTTATAGAAAAGGTTTTGCTGCTTAATTAATAAAAGGTTTTCATGAATTAATTTCCTTGTACTTTGGTGTTGTATGGATGGCAATGCGGGGTCTTAAGCAATAGGAAAAGCTGTAAAACTTAAAATATAGTTAAAAAGTTCAAAATCCATGCACTCCACATTTTCTAAGCTGTCCAGTATTGGAGTCTTTGCCAGGTTGATTTATTTGACATTATGTTTGACACCCCTAGTCTAACCAAACAGGGTTAAACTAAAGTACTGGTCCTCAAACTCTACTCAAAAATGCTGTCTCTCACCAACAATAAAAATAATCCAAATACTTCCAATTTAAAAATGCTGTTATAGCATGACCTTGCCCACTACTGAGCCCACAGGTTCACAGCTTTAAGAAACAAGGCACTACAGAATGTGATTGGTCATGACTTCGGCTTTGACTTCGACTTCTGCAGATCCTCTTTTTACAGCTACAAATTCTCGCTTTATATCTTTCTCCACTCAAACACATTTAGTTAACTTTGGAGGTTTGAGCTCCAGTTTGCAGGATAATCTACGTGCATCTTTTTCTGTGTGCTCCACCTGAATCTCAGTTTAACACATGTACACATAGCAAGGATTTTGAGAGTTTAGAAAACAGGGTGCAGTATGAAACTTACAAATCCAAGATGTAAACTAGAAACTTTTAGTGAAGCTGGAGACCTCTGTCACACTATAAAATGAACAACACTTTGCACCGTAAAAATATTCAAGTATAAATTCTCATCATCAAGTAGTTCATAAAGAAACCTCTTACTGGAGTTTCTGAGACTAAGTATTAATAGTCCTAAAATAAGTCTATTTGGTTTTCTGTTATCGGAGTTTTATAAGAATTCGTACATTTTGTCAGGGTCAGGAGTTGTATCTCTCAAGGGTTTAACCGATCCAAAACATTAATAACATCACACTGTACAAAAACATGCCGTCCATTTCTTTGTTTGAAAGACTTCAGGGTGTTTATTCATAGTTTGTTTAACATAAAATATGAGTGTTTATTCACTGATGCTATCACTGCTTTAGTTTGTGTCACACAGAAGAGTTGCCACTTTGGAAAGCTTTTTTTAAGAAAACATATATATAAGGGAAAAAAATCCAGATTTTGTGATCACTGGGTTGTATTAAAATAACTACAGCAGCGGAGTCTGTAAAACCCTAAAAAAAGGACACAGCAAAGATGATGCTAACAAGACACTGGGGCTTTGGTGACTGTATTATTTGTACTGCATGAAATTAACACAAAAAAGGACAATCTATCAACACAAGTATCTGCCACAGCTGGAGAAACAAAGATGTTTTCTCACCCATAAACCTGAATCAGCCTCCAGAGATGAATAGGATTGTCTGTGGGTAAGACTGTAGTATCTGCTAAAGAATTTACAGTGTGAGGAGAATATAAAGCTCCTTTAGATGTAATTACCCCCCTAAAGAATTTCCCTTTTTTAAAGTGAGCCAACACTGACGTCAGAAGGAGATCACAGGGTACGACTCTGGATCTCTGGTTTCATGCTCTGGGAAAAAATGATCCACAGAAATAATGACAGGACTGTTTGGGGCTAGAGAAGCAGCATTAAAAAAAAAAAAAGATAAACTGCCTGACATTTTGCTTTGAGGCAACAAATCTAAGAAAGAATATTTCCAATGAAATGCTTAGCAAACAGAGTAAACGCACATGCAGGAACACTGATGCATAAATCTCAAGAGTGACTTTTGCTGTTAAATTACTATTGTGTCTGTAGTGTCAGCGTTTAGACCACATAAGCTGGAGCAGGAGGACTGATCATCTCTTTTTAAAATCAGTGTGACAGTCTATACATGTAAACCGACTTTTAAACCACACACTAAATGACAAACCTGAAATAAACAGACCAGTCTCTCCTTAAAAAGCACTAACATTATAGCTCACAGTTCGTCCCCTGAAAGACACTGCTGCACATCTTACCTTCAGTTTGGAGAAATGTTGCTGTCCAAGTTCATGTAGCACAAGTTGTTTCACTTCAGCACTGAAGGAGCTCTGTGTGCATGTGTGTGTGTGTGTGTGTGTATGTGTGTGTGTTGTGAGAAGGCACTTGTGCATGTGTGTTTTCTCCTTGGAAGGTGTTTCCCCATTCTCGTGACTCTACATCACTCTGACAGAGGACAGCAGATTGTATGAGGAGGAGGAGGAGAAGGGGAAGATAAAGGGGCAAGGCGTGAGAGTGGATGAGGAGTCTATTACAGTGCTACGAGTGTGATTAAGTGCCGTCAGCGCAGAGGAAGAGCAGAGGGCCCGGAGTTTCCTGAGCTGGATCTGGGTGGGGGCGGGGAGGTTCGGCTCTCTGATTCCTTCATCTCGCCATTCTCCCGTCTTTTTAAGAAGCAAAGAGACACTTGTTTCTTCACAGTCAGTTACTGCAGACACAGTTTTTCATTCACTAAGGGCAGAATTGCATCATTAAACAACACAGGCTCTAAAGTTGGAAAAGAATAACTCTTCAGTTCAAGTGTTTGATTCAAGTCTGCTTCTTGTATGCTTTCAGCACCTTGTCAACAACACATTCGTGACCGAAAGGCAAAGGGAGAGGACTTTGGTAATTGCGGAAATACTTATGTGATTTAACCAAGATATTCCACTTAAAAAACACTTTGAGGCTCTCTTCATTGGACCGTGGCACTCATTTAGACTTAATTGTAGGCAAGCAGTAAAAACAAAAATATTCTCTCACACAGCTAACTAAACAGACCTTGAAATACAAAGCACACAGCCCAACATAGCGCTCAGAGAGACAGCGGTTTAATAAAAGCAAACCTTTTATTCTAATCACAAACACAACACAGATACATTCACATAAAAGTGTCCAAAACAAGGCAACAAATACAATTTAAGTTTCCCCACTCAGGGTCAGACCTCGGCGCCAAAAGACTACAGATCCCAGAGTTATGAAGGCGGCTGAGAGTGAGGTGAGGTGTTTGCGTGTGTGTGTCACAACTTTACAAACAAAAAGTACTCTACCATTAAATAAAATGTAAACATAAAAACAAAAATCGCTCCATTTATACAAATGTGACGCAAACTAAAAATCACTGGAGGAAAGCACAGCCAGGGTTAAAGGAGAGATTCACTGTTTTTAATATAGTTTACTTTAAATACTCATATCTTGTTATCTATATAACCAAATAAATGGCCACTTCCTCCTGTCCTTAACAGCAAAGCATTTCATAAATGGCTAAGCTGAAATTAAAATTGGAAGCTGGACTTGTAAATGAAATTCCCTCCTTTTGTTTCTTTTTGATTTAAGCTCACCTTTCTCTGGACATTTTCTAACCTATAAACATGAACTTTGGATGTTCACGTGGTGGGTCACACCAGAATGTAAAAATTCATGTATTCATTCTAGTGGATTGCAGCAGGTACTGTACTTGCAACATAATAATTCTGCATTTTCTTTATTTTTGGTCCATTTTTGGCCCAAACATTCTGACCCACAAATTTTATAACGGAGGGCACAATCATCATTTATTATCAAAGTTGCATTATTCACTTTTATCTAACTTCCTTAAAAGTTGATACAAACAGAGAGTCAAGGGTGTGAATATATCTTCAGAAAAAAAAGTGTTGGTCTAAGGTAAAAGAATAAACCTGACTATCTGATTATAATGCTATCCAGGGAAACTTTGGGTCCTGTCAGCCACGTGAGTGTTACTTTGACACATTAACACCACCCTTAACATGGTTGCCCATCCCTATTACATTGAGAAGACTTCTCTAGCAGCTCGAGGAGCATGGCAAAGTTTCCAAATTTCCCACATCTAAATCCAATTAAGAAGCCGCAGGACATGCAAGAAAAATCGAGATCCATGGAAGCCCCACTCAAATAATCTGCTGTCAACATCCTGGTGCCAAACACCATGGACACCCCAGAGGTCCAGCGTCTGTGCTGAGAGCTTTGTTGAAGGCAAGAAGGGAACCTTATTGTGGATGAACTGTTTACTGTTTACAGCCAAGTAAGATATACTAATATGCAAGTTAGCATGGGTGTTGGTGTCATTTTGTCTGTTAAGCCAAATGTCAAGGGGGTAAACAGAAGAGCCGAGAGAAAACAGAAACTCTCCAGGAACTGTTCTGACTGACTGGCATCCACACAGCCAGCTGGCACGCAAGTAGCTATCGCAACACAAAGAAAATTTTATGAATTAGTTCTGGAAATATGGCTGCAAGTGTCTAGAGTAAATATTCCACAGAGTCAGAGTCTGTTCAAGGGTCATACCAACCTTTGGTACCAACCTTACCAAACTTAACTACAACATGCAACTCCTTCAATGTACGTGAGGACCTGTGAGTATAACTTTAAGTAGAATTAAGAACCTATCCTTTACCAGATCAAATCCTGTAAACACAATGGTGAAAATCTGCTGTTTTAGGGTACATAACAAACTTGACATTTCTCCCAACTCAACTACAAAACGATTTACATGTTATCTACAAATGTGCAAGAGGAAAAAGCAAATAAATTAAAAGCTATTCATTATAAGACACCAGCTTAGTTCATCTAATTCTAACAAAGAAAAGCTTCACATGTTTAGTTTATGGGAATTTTGTTTTGTGTAACTACTGAGAGTGCTTTAGTGTAAGACACAGAAGCAGAGCGGGAGAGGGAGGAGAGTGGGAATGCAGTGTGTATCACCATACATGGAGCGGAAACCAATCCAGGTTACACTGAGTCATAGACAAGCTTATCCCAGTCTCTCTCTATCCCCCCCACACAGAGACAAACAGAAACACCAAGATAGGGACACAAAGGTGCAAATTCACAGCTAATAATTCATACACTCACACTATGTTTTCACACATTTTTTTCCTAACACCTCCCCTCTACGAAAACACATTCAAGTGTCCAAAAATAAGCCACCTGAAATGGTTTAAAGATTCAAACATATTTGCCACAACAGGCCTTCCTTGGCTTGACCCTTTTGAAAAACAAACTTATCTTGACAAGTGCTTGTTTAGAAAAACACCAACTAGGCACCGTTTCATGCAAAGTAAGAACGGGCTAGGCCCATAACTTAATTCTGAGTTACGAAAAACTAAACAATCCCTTTGGAAAAGTGGTTCAAGAAACATCAACAAGCATCACTAAACCACCACCTCAGTACCTAAATATACAGGTGGGTGTAAAGTGACACCATTGTGATGGACAGCAAAGTCTCCATGTGGTAATTTGTGGATAAACTAGAGGCCATTAAAACATTTTTGGATCCACAGGGGAGGTGTTTATTCTGTCAGTGCAGGTCTAGTTACCTGCACACACACGTAAAGAAGTCCACAGCTGATTGCAGCTTTTTAAACTGCTCCTGTGTTTGTTTCAATGTTTTAATTGCTTTGAGTCTGTTGTGCAGCGGCTGTTGTCCATTATTCAGGTTCATGGTAAAGCCAGGGTGAGTCAGGTGTTTCCAAAAGGTCTGCAAAAAACCTGTATGCAAAAACAAGAACATTTAAGGCAGTACTTTAGTCCTGGATCAAATTCACATCCCTTTCAACCGATTCAACCAAGTTATATGGAATATCTCCTGATTTTCCTTTGTTATGATAAATATTAAAGGCTGTGATGATTTCTTCCCTGTTTAGAATAAGAAGCATATTTTTAAAAAAGGTGTAAACCACCAAACAGACGCATGACTCACATGGTGATCTTGTTAAATTAAAAGCAACCAGATAAGCATCAACATTTGTTTCTGGTTTCTGTATTTCACATAAATTCTAAACTATTGGTGCCTGTGTGTTTGCACTAAGTAAAACAAATTAGCTTCAAACCTGAAAAAAACAAAACAAAGCAAAACAAACAACAAAAAGTAGTGACAATACAAGTATTAACAGCTTTGTCCTTAAAGTAAGTGAGATCCCTCTGCTGGAGACAGGAAGTCATCACATTTGCCCAACTTATCATGACAGATTTTCATCTTCCCCCTATAAAGTGAATGAGAGAGACTAAAATATGCAATTATGGACCAGACATGGGTGTTGACCGAAGTTTGAACCAATTAACCTTTAAAGTTGATCTGGATCTACTTGATCCAAGGACTTGGAGGTATATTCTTACTACCTGATTTTTTATTTTTTGTTAATATCTTGGGATGTTAAATCTATTTGAAAATGTGTTTTTTTTT